CTTCCTACTGCCGGTGAAGATGTGCATCTACAGCCGATGTCCTAGAACCCAAATGAAATGACGAAACAAATCTGCTGTAGTCCAGAGAGCAATTATTGGATTCTTGTCTTCTCGAGTCGGTGATATACAATGAAAAGAGGATTGGAGACAATTTGGATCCCTGAGAAACGCCAGCATTGATGGTAGAGCCACACACAAAAATGATTCCACAAGCCAGCGCATCGTAGTTTGGCCAGCAAACCCTCATGCCACACATGGTCAAAGGCCTTGATACTCCATGTTTCTCGATTGCGTTATTCCAAATGTGGATTTTGTAAATTTTTGATTAACAGCTTTAGCTACCGTCCAGAAGGATCTAGACCCGTTGGGATTGGCAAGCAGTTTATCCTTAATTCTCTGATTGTGAAGTTTTTTGCTTTCATTTATCCTAAGTTTGCAGCTGTTGCAAGCATTAACAAACCCAGTTCGGTTTTCGGCACTGGGATTTTTACGCCACTACCGGTGGCGAGATTTTTGTAGGCGACAGCTCGCTCGCAAATTTTGTTGAACCAACGGTTGCCGTCAGAGTTTCGTTTCATTGAATAAAAATTGTATGCATCCATGGATAATAGAATAACTTCCGTGACTTCAGAAGCCCAAGTTGATGCGGATCTTCAGAGCTGAAACAAACTTCTGGCCAGGGGAAATTTCGAAAATGGTTTTGAAGATCCTCCCACTCAGCACATATGTAATGCAAAACTTTGCGCCGCTTAGATCTTATGATCTTACATTACATAAATGTGAATGGACTCAACGAAAAATGAATGAAATAACTTTCAACTAACATGCGGTTTCCACCAAAAGTCAACAGATTGGTGTTTTTCTTCATTTTAATTTCGAGATTGTGTAGTTTTGAAGATGTGGGGAGTAAATCATCATATTTTATCATGTTTCCTATAGCCATGCCACTGAGGGGAACAATAAATACATTTGTATATCATCAGCATAATAGTGAAACGTAGAATGTTGTGAATGTGAAGAATGGATGCAAAATAATATCAGTTCTGAAATACTGAGAAACTTCATATGATACATATTCTTCATTTGATTTTTCATCTGAAATTACTAGTTTCCGATCATTCAGACATCATTCTGAGTAGCGAATATTCTCAACTAATCAGTTTGCAATCCATGAAACAATGCGAGGGTTAAAACAGTAATGACCCAAATAAAAGCAAAAATTTTCCACATTTTCAATGAAAAATATAACGACTACATGCATTAAAAAAAATTATAGTTGAACCGTTTTCTTAAAAAAATTGTACGGGTATAATTTTTGTCGACATTTTTCAAAAAATGCTACTTCATTGCTGATTGAAGAACAAAATATGATGGCGAAACCTCAATAATAGTCACTGAATATAACATTTTTCCTTATATAAATGTAGCGTATTTCAGAATATTTTTTTAGCTGCGAAATCGCTTTTTGAACTTCGATTAACTAGAAAAATACATTGTATTATCATCATCATCATCTAGAGGTCTTCTTTTGATTATCTGAAAGGTGGCTTCACGAAATTTGGATCTCCGATAACTACTGTTTCACAATATCGATGGTAACTTCTTTCTCTCTACTTCGAATTCGCTTGGTCACTCCTACGAATTCGTTGTTCATTATTGGGCCATACATAATTTATTCTGGTTGAAGCAAATTCAAGGTAAAGTCCTGTACTTGACACAGAGATAATCACTATAGAAAAAGTTAACATCATCAGAAAATATAACATCTCCTGAAAAGCTAACTTGGTCAGCGGAACGTAAAGCAATAAGATATTTTTTGAAGACTTGAAAACTGAGTGTCAAATAACTGTAGAAGAGTGGAATTAGGATAAATGAATGAAGAGAAAATATGTCACCCTGTTAAAACTACAATTGAGAAACGTCACATTGACGATGATGATAGAGAAATTTCTCCAAATATTCCTTTGCTAGCCGCCGTTGGCAGTCTTATCTATTCATCACTAGCTACAAGATCTGATATACATTTGCTGTTCTTTTTGTAGCACTAGCAGTAGCTAAACCAAAATATGATTACTGCGAAATAATGAAGAGCATATTGAAGTATTTTGGATGAACAACTGAATATGACATTACTAATAGGGCTAATACAGATGCTCTTCAAGCCTACAGTGATTCCAATTATTCAGGTAATTTATCTTTCCAACTCAACTTCCGCATTTGTCTGCAAATCGAAATCTTCCTGATTGAATTCATACGTGTATGAAGACCACCGCAACATCTGTCTGTTTAAAAAAATCTGTTTTTCCGTTAATGAGCTGTGTCGCACCCCTACGAACGACAACCCTCAGAAGTCTAAACTTGTGCGAGCTAAGGATTAACGAGATCTTACCTTTTAACTTGTGATTCCTAACATGGGTTGGACGAAAGCAAGTGAAGATCGATCGTTTAGACTAGGGCTTGAACCACCGACCAACACGGCAGTCAATTCGAGTGAGTGAATGATTGATAACGCTTTCCGTTTCCTTGCTCGTTTTTTTTGGTCAAGAGCAAATAAAAAATCGATTTTGAGAGCTGAAAAATCCCATTCGGACACCATCTACAGAAGCTTCTAGAGATACTGTAGAATACCCCTTTTTGACATTTGTCGCTGCAGACCAACTCAGTTACACTGAGATAGAATACACTTCAAACATATCAATAAAACAAGGGTTACGGTTCACCTGGGAGTTTTGATAGGGTTTTGAATTCCTAACCTTGAAATGAATAAATTAAAAAAATAGTGAATGATTACTATTGACCATGAATTATCACTGTATGAAGAATCTGGAATGTCATTGTCCTGAAATTTCACATTCTTTCAAATGGTTGCTCCAATAGGGAAAATAACAAAACCCTAAAGCTTAATACACTAAAACTCAGGACTTCTGATCGAAATTCTATTTCCAGAAACCATCAAGGAAACTCAAAGCTTTTGTTTCACGATCCTCCAAATGAACTCCTTTGGTTTTTGAGGTCCGAAAGTGGCAGTCTCCAACAGTAGTCACCTCAGAACTATATTTTACGTTCAAGATGTACTTTTACTTGTTTTTGTGCTAATAATGGCTCTTTTACTTTTATTGGAAGTTATATACTGTTTATGATTGTATGCTTCTTATGATTTTGTCTGGCAGAACTCAAGAAGTTGGAATTCATTCTGATTTAAGGTTCTCAGAAACTTCACATACATCACCAGTTTGTGATGTCTTATGAAGCCAGATAAAAAAGACTCTTTCTAATTTTCATCCTCTACACAAAGAATCAAGCATAAACTGTTTATGCTTGAGGAAACTATTGTATAGCGAAACACGTGTTGCGGTTTGTAAAACCCTTTATAGTGAAAATCATACAATAAACTGTATTAATCAGTTTTTCAATATGTATTTTTATCAAGAATCGCCAGTTCTATTCAATTATTTGATAATAATATGAGTTACAAATATATGAATAGATATAGATAAAAGAATATATAAAGTAAGGTGGATTGAAAATTTAAAACTTATATTATAGTTCGTGGAAGTGAATGAAATCAATAATGAAATATGTTATGCAAACAAAACGGTACCCACAAAGTCATAGACTATCTGTGGTGACAATATCATGCATTTCCTATCACCTAATACCAATGAAAGAAGTTTGCTGTTATAAATACCTATATAACCATTTTTCGTTTCATTTCCTATCAATTGCTACATTCAATCAACCTATGTATTTCCAATCTTTTTATGTTCTGTAAGAATTTTTTAAGATTTTTCATAAATTTGTTATAGTTTGTTATATTGTTATAGTTTTCATTTCATAAGGCAGAAAGTTAAAGAACCTTGGAATCAAATGGTTATAACAGCGTTGACCCATAGACCCATAGAAGCAAATGGTGTTCTAAAATGATCCATCTTCCTTCTCGTATCGTAGTTACATATTGGTTTGAAAAGGTATGATTTATACAAAGCAGGTTGTTTTAGGAAAATAATGTTGTCGAATATCAAATACCTTCAATTCGGACTATAAAATTTCAGAAGAGTATCGATTCGGTATTTTCAGCATAATTTTCAGGAATGTTCTTTGAAGCACTACCAGAGTCTTAATATGCTCTTTCAGTGCCCTCCCCAGCCAATTATAATGTATGTGATCCTAGCGAATTTTAGCAGAAATTTGAATCGATACAGAATACTTTTTAGTGTATTACATAGTTTCAGTATGTGTGTATTCCATCTGAGATGATTGTCTATTGTAGTACCTAGATATTTAATCGATTCAGTTTCTTTTACTTCCAGGTGTTCATCAATCTTGAAGGTGTTTTATTGTGCTCTTGAGTTCTTGAAGCATGACAAGGAGATGAAGATAGTTTCATCAAAATTGATGGTGAGGATTTTGTTGTCAAACCAGTTTGGAATGGAACCTTATTCACTGTTCAAAATTCTGGTGCCACACTTTGTTATTTCCATACCTTCGAAAGAATCCAAAAATCTAGCGTCTTGTACCGATCAGAACAATTTGAGGCAGTTTTCATTTACTATTTAGCTGTTCTCGAAGGCCTGTTGATCGACACCAGATTATTCTGATCTTGGAAATCGGATATGTTCAGCGTGTTTTTCGAAAAGAGTTTCGATTGCTCACTTAATATGACCGATATATTTTTTGTCACACGCTCTGTATAGTTTCATATCGTTGCTATATGTTTTGTCGAAAAGCTAAGCACGTCGATTATTCCTTTCAGTTTGACTGTCACATTCAATTTTGTACTTTCAAGTAAAGTTTCAAGTACAATCTACAACAAATCTTCAATCTCCAATTTTCTTTTTTAACTCTTCAAATGTTTTGATAGTTATTCTGCTATTCCGCCTGGAAACATATCCGGCAACAACGGAATACGATAATATAACCACATTGTGGCTTCCTTGACGAAAATATTTACATCAACCTGCGCCACTGCTATCTTGCTTAATATGTATATTATGATGATATTCATCAAACATGTTCTTAGTTCTCAGTCCACTGACTTCGCTGGCTTGTCGAAGACCGGTGTTGATAGTTATGAAGCTTCTTCTAGTTTACGTTTTTTCTCTGGTAATTATCTCAGTGTCAAGTGCAGGACTCAACCTGGAATTTACTTGGACCAGGATAAATTATGAATGGCCCAGCAATAGACAAAGGATTCGTAGAAGTGACCAAGGGAATCCGAGATACGGAAAAAGAAGTTACCATCAACATCGTGAAACAGTAGTTATCGAAGATCCAAATTATGTGGTAAAGCCACTCTTTGGAAAATCAGAAGAAGACCTGAAGACGATGCATGATGAGACAAGGACCAATATTGATTATCAGTATGGTAAATATTGAATAATAACCGTAATAAAACAGAAGTCTATGGGCACAAATAGACTATTTTCGAGCGTGTTGCGTGCACTATTTTTTCGGCAACCATGTAGAATAACAAATCGATGAGATACATTTTTTTATTATATTTCTTAGTAGGACCAAATTTCGAACATTTCACTTCCCAATTGTATTAAATATTGAAATTTGAAAATAAGAAACATTCTATATATGATGGAGTCCGCCGATATTTGATGAAAATTCATAACGTATTGAAAAAGTACTTTATTGTAGGACTTTCACTGTGCCATTTCCACCGATTAGTGAAAATCTCACAATAAAATATTTTCTGAATAAAAAATATTCTCATGATGCACTGTTTGGAACCTTTGGGGTAGTAATGAATATTACTGGAGTTTTTTTCCAACACCAAATCGTTATTTTCAACACCTCGACACGTGTTTCGATCACTAAGCGATCATCTTTGAGAGGAAGATTAAACTCTTGAAGACGATCACTTTGTGATCGAAACACGTGTCGAGGTGTTGAAAATAACGATTTGGTGTTGTGAAAAAACTCCAGTAACATTTAAGAAACATTCTGATTCTTATTTACATCATTAAATATTTATATAAAAAATGTTGCAATTGCTAATAATGAAGGGATTCAATTTGTTTGAAACGCCTTCACAGTATATCTTATCACTCTCCACAAGTAGCTAACTACATTATTTTTCACTAGTAAAACCCTCATTATAGCCTTCAAACGTTGCTCCCTATTATTTAGAGGCATTTGCAGATTTTAAAATTGATGAATTCTGAACAAGAAGGTAAAGTTCTCTTTTTACATCTGATAATTTTTGAATGGTGATGGCAATTTCATTTTGTTCGTGAGCGAATTGTCGTTATATCCTCCAGCGATTTCCAACCACCGTGTTTCTCCAAATTTGTGTGCAAATAACATCGCTGAAGTTCGATGAATTCTATAGCCTGTGTAGTTTTTGGGATTGGGTAAATTCAAAAATTTCATGAATCTCAATCGAAAATTGCCAAAACTGTGGATACCAACATATTTTATCGAACAATTTTCTTTTATGTAGAGAATGGGATGACCGTAAAGATAAATATTGCCTATACAACTACAAAATTTCTCTCAATATGTGTTTTTGAATCTGGTATTTTTACAAGCAACATATCTTTCTTGTCGTTTATTGGATCAATTGACATGTTTGTTAGTTCTTCCCATCTACACGCACCAGCTAACACAGTAATTGTTGCTAATTGATAATATCAAGCAAACTAAGTTAATCCTTTTGAATCCTTCAGCATTATTCATGTTTCATTATTCGCATTCCTAATGAGTTTTTTGATCTGCTCGCTGTTGAAGTCTTCCGATTCCTTTACTCATAACAAACATTATTTCTTCAAAGAAATGCGATAACCTTTGGGAAGTGGGTATGTTTCAATTTTTCTTCTTCTCTTTTCAACATAAATTACATGTTCCAGAAAGTAAAGGATTTGACAGTTTCAAATGTATGTGCCAAATGCAATCTTCTGTAATAGTTTTGGATTTCTTCGTATCCATCCATTTTGAGAACCTTGACTTTGATTATTCAGGCAATTTGTGCTGCAGCAGCAGCTGCAGCACAGTTGAATGACTATCCATTGAGATATAGTGGTATCAAAACACATGACATCAAAACGAACAAAACAAAACATCAAATGTATGGCACTAACCTCTTTCCTCGAACTTCCACACACAAAATTCCAACAATTATGGCAAATCGTATTTTTGATTTAGTATATATAGTATCAATTTTTTGAATCGTATTTTCATCCCAATTTTTTAACTATTTGTCACGTAAGTTCTATATCCTTCTATTATTTTCTCTTTCTCTGTCTCGAGTTTTGATTTGTTGGGTTTTTCTTTTCGAGATCGATATTATAATCGGTAGCTTCCTAGATACCTACCAACATACTTTCAACCTTTTTTTGTAGTTCACTGTAATCTTTCAATTATGTATTTCATATTTTGTATAAATCACACATTTTCAATGATCACTAGAGTTGAAAATATTTCTCAAAACTGCCCTCTTGGAATATTACTGAAGTTTTATCCCAACACCAAACCGATCACCAAATGATCATCGAAAGGAAGATCAATTGTAAGGGTTATATTTTTAGGAGTAACTAATTTTTGGAAAAGAGAGTTTTTGGCTTCCTACTACTCCATCTTGATACAAAGAAAATGTGGGAATGTTTCTAAAAAAGGAAGAAAGTGATCAGTTTTGAAAGAATTAACTCAATCCATAGATATATAGATCATGCAGAGAAATAACTTTCAGACACAAACTGAAAGAAAAAAACCTCCTTAAAGAGCTACTTTCATATAAACATTGAATTACATGAAAGATAAATTCTTTCGAAACAAATACTTTTATATCAACACTGAATTATACACAAAACACTTTTCTCTACTTAGTTTGTATCATTCCCAGGATTTCTACACAATATACTAAATGAAAGGTGACAATTTCATTTACATGGAACACTGGAATACATCGATATTTCGCCGCAACACACTTGCCTTATCAGTTATTCAGTACCAATCAAGATAACATAAAAAAATTGATTACTTTCTTCCTTTCTTTGGGAGATTCCTATATTTTTTTTTGTATCAAGATGGAGTAGAAGAAAGCCAAACATTTTTACCCAAAGATCAATCTTCTTTGTAAAGATGATCACTTGGTGATCGAAACACGTGTTGGAGTGTTGAAAATAATGGTTTGGTGTTGGAATGAACTTCCAGTAATATTCATTACTACACCAAAGGTTCCAAACAGTGCATCACATGCCCTCTTGGAAATGAAATTAAGTGTCTAATACATTTTTCATATCATTTTCTATGAAAACGACGTTGGTCGTGTAGTTTCAGTTTTCAACAATGTTCATATATTTCTATAGATCAGTGAGAACATTTTTCATGGTCCTACTATCAACACTAGCAACAATATTGAATCGAATGTATTTGAACTGCCACAATGAAATACATTGCTACTTGTCTGAACTATTGTATGCAACTAAGAATAATATAGAATTCAACATCCCAATTCTAGAAAATAACATTCCCATGAGCGTGAATGCCTGGAAGAACAAACTCTTCATTACGGTTCCAAGAAGACGTCTAGGGATTCCATCTACCTTGAACTACGTCTCTCTCGACAACCCAATCCGCCACAACACCCCTTTAATCCCCTACCCCAACTGGAAGAAAAATTTGTATCCTGATCCGCAAAATACTGGTCAGAATTTCCTCTCAGTATACAGAGTGGCAGTCGATCCCTGTGACAGACTTTGGTTCGTTGACACTGGTGTTCTGGAGCTACCAGGTGATTGTTATTGATAATTTGATTGAATTTGTAACTGAATACATTTTTCATCATTGAACCGTAGAGAAAAAATTCATTTTCCTAATCGTAGAATGTCCTCAACATAGATTTCAAAAAACTAGCTCTGTTATTTTTGGTGTTTCCATTCATTCATTCTCTGATATATTTCATTTCCAAATATTATGTCAAAATCAATTAGGTACAGTGAAAGTAAAAATTGAAAATTTGGTACAGAGTATGATATAAAAAACTCTTCTCAATATATACCAATCTCGATGGAAAAACAGTTTATTTTTCAATCAAACTAGAAACTACTGTAATGTATAATTTTCAATTATATTCTTTTTTCATTCTTTTCATAGGTAATGCAACCAAAGTCAAACCACCAACCTTGGTTATCATGGACCTCAACACAGATCAAGTAATCCATACTTTCCAAATACCAGCAGACAGTCTGAAACCAAAGACTTCTCTCACCAGTATTTCAGTAGATGTCACTGAAAATACCTGCGGAGATGCATATGCATACATAACAGATTTAGGTGGGTAGAGCAATAGTCAAACTAAATTGACAAAATATTGTTTTCTACCGATACTATACTGAGTTTGATATATTAATCTCAGCACATTCCGTCAAATAGTTTTTCATTGCTTTTGGTTTCTTTCTCAGTGTTACTTTTCCAGAATGAGAGAAAGAAGGAACAATTCAATGTTATGAGATATAATTAAGGAACAATTCAATATTATGAGATATAAAGAACATAATAACGTCTCAGTGGAATCACAACTTGCCAAGTTTTATTGTCAAAGATTGTATTTTTGCGTTGATATAACCACTTTCACATATTTTCAACTCATTTGTCACTTCTGAAATCTATCCTGAGATATGGAGAATATGTCACGTATTCATATCTTTCGAGCTATCATTCGTATCCATCTACAGATCAGTAGCTATATTATGCTATTTTGGAAAACTCTTTGAAAGCATTATTCACGATAATGAAATGATGATAATACCAAATAAGCATTATCCATGTGCAAAACCTGGCGAGTGTAACAGAATATATTTCCTGTAATCTCAATTGAACAGAACAAGTTGATGTCTTTTATACTAATATGAAAAAAGCCTTTGAGCAGATTGACCACTTTTTACTTTTGGAAAAACTTCAAAGAATATTATTGCTCAAATCTCATCTGTCAGATCGCATTCAGTTTTTCGAATATCGGGGGTATAGTCGAACCATTAAATTATACATCAGGAGTGCCCCAGGGGTCTAATCTGGGACCCCTTTCATTTCCAATTATGATTCAGTTCTACAATGGGAATCCTAGGACAATTTTTTTGAAAAAGTGGCCAATATTTGTGATGTGTAAGTGTCGGATCTGTGCGATACACATCATGACAGCAAACCGTTTATTTCAAAGTCTATTCAAGATTCGATGTCATGATTGTTTTTCACACCCTTTTTGTAATCTATATCTTTCTTTATACTCTCTAATTGTTTGTATTCTACCTATTTGTGGGTGTAAACTTGTAAACAACAGAAAATCTTTCTTCTCCTTTCAAAATTTATGAATCTAAAGGAAATTCAAATCCAAGATAGAGTGGATGTAAACATTGACATGCCCTACGCACGTGATATTGAAAATTCCAAGAATTGGCCAGGGTCGTATTCAGAACCATCATCTTGTTGATCGTAAATGCTATATCATACTTAGGAAAACTTTTTTATAATAACGAGTGAAATGCACACGTTTTGCAGTTTAACGGGAAAAATGCAGATCATATGTGTAATATAAAAAGACTTTCATTGGATTTTTCACAGCGCACTCAAGCATTATTTGAGAAGAGAAATAATTATTTCTTTATTGATAATTTTTATTTTATGTAAAATCAAAAGGAATATTAATCAAAATTATTCAACTGGATGAATTTGTCTCTTCATCAGTAGTGTCATCCTCACCAATCTGAATTATCAGTGGCTCGATTTGTGCCTCTATTATGTTATCAAACTTCCACATCTTTGTCTCGACTTCCGATAACACATGTCGAACACTCTTCTCCCATTTCTCCGCTGTGACTCTTTTCAAAGCCTCATCAAAAAGTACTTTGAGATTTGTGAATTTGAACGTGGTGTTATGCTGAGCTACAAAATTCTTCACATCCGCCCATATTAACTCGATGGAATTGAGCTCGCAGTGGTATGGAGGCAGGCGAAGGACAATTTTGTTTTGGCCTGCTGCCGTCTCATCGACTATATATATTTGGTATTCAAGCTTGCGCTCCTTGACAATTTTTAGTAGCTGTACTCTGAGCATTGGGTCTTCAAAGCTAATATTCTTTGATCGCAGCCAATTTTGGATTTCAACCTTCTTTGAAGACGTTGTCGGAATCTTCTCTAACCGTCGCGAATGATAGCCCTTCAGCAACAAACCCATTCTCATTGCTGATGTGACAAATAATAAGCCTTTCGCCTTTACCTGAAATTATGAAATTTTATATATTGAGATTGTGGCAGGTCTTAATATAAATATAAGTTCACCTGATGGATTTGTTAATCCGGTGGATAGTCCATCTAGAAAGGCCATCTTAGATGAGGTCACAGTTTCATCGACCCATACTTTAGGGGTAGTATGACCAGCATTAACCCAGGTTTCATCCATATAGTCAATTGTTCTCTGTTGTTCCCTATAATATTTAATTTTGGTCAAATACTCTCTCCTCCATAACACAATTTCCTCTATCCAATAAAAAACTATTGCGCCCTCGTTTTTTCCATACAAAATTCAAATGTTTCAATACTGTATGGAATGTTGACCAGTTGCTCTAAATTT